TGCTGAACACGATTTACAGACAAAATTGTCTTTTTGTAGCTTTTTTAGAGACGAAAAGCTAAACCCTTAAGAAAGTTAAAGAAGCAGCTCAGGCCTGTGAGAGTCACGCCTGTTATTTTCCATTCCCTTTTTCGTCTAAAGCTGAGTTCACATCACTATTGGGTGATCGGAAAAGTCATGACACATTCTTTCCATTTTCCTGTGCAAAAACGCCACCACGGCTTTCCTAACAACCAGTGCGAGGCTGACTTCCCAAGGCCCTTCCTCGTGGGGTCTCGACCACGGAGAGAAACGGGGGGGGTCTTTGAAGAAGGCTCTTGGGGAAAGTGGAGCAAGACGCAGAAATAACGAGGATCTAGAGGTGCCCTAGATATAAAATACCGATGGCAGCAGTGACAACGAGGAGATTCCAGTCTGAACTCCAGATCAGAAGGCCCGTGAGCAGTGGCCCCACCCCGCAGGGCAGTCAGAGAAAACCACTGAGCTTAGCATTTGCGCGATGAAAACAGCAGCTCTCTGTGTACAGCAGGCCGGCTGCTAGGTCAGCAAATGCCCACGCCCACATACTTAGTGAGAGTGTGTTCGAAGTGTTAGGACGAGGGAGCCCTAAGAGGCTGGGATGCAGCGTCCAGCCCTCTGAGGGGACACCGTGCTGGAAGCCCGCCTTACCTCTCTGGGCTCAGAGACTTCCTCTCAGACCGAGCACTGGGCATCTCCCGTGCCCATGTGTGTGGGTGGCCCACGGGCTTCCGCACAGCGCAGGGAGCAGAGGCGAGCCTCCGGAGGACAGTCACTCCCCCTCGGACGAGGTTCCCCATGACGGTAGTAGTGGAATTCTCACAGGGCTGCACGGGAGGGCTCAGCTAGCAGAGGACTTTCTGCATGGGCTTGGGGGGAGACCTAACGGTGTCATCGATCGTCCCCGCCTCTCCCAACTGCAGTATGTTCAGTGCCGTGGTGAAAGTGGGGTGGAGGCCACTCTGTGGGGATATACCGTGCTATCCCTGGTGTCACTCTGAATTATTTCCCTGATGGTCTCCTCGGTTTGTCAGAGGAGTTGGATGTGCCCCATGAGAGTGAGAAGGTTGTGCTCATCGAAAATTGTCCCAAGTGTCTCAATAACCCGAGCATGGGGATAAACAATGGGACAGCTAGGTGGAAAACTGAGGTGCATCTAGCCCCCGAGCCTTCCGGCCTGTCAGTACTGACCTGCTCTCATGTCTTCCGGCCAGCGAGGGCCTTCGCTGATGGGAACCCCGAGCCACGAAGGCTTCAGCTGCTGTCCTACCACTGCGCAGTTGGATAGCACTGCCTTGGGATCATCAGCAGTGGAGCGATATGGACTGTTACAGTGTCATATTCCAAAACCAACGGATCACACAGGAAAAAAAAAGACAAAAACATCCACTCGAATCAGGAAGAAAAAACTCCTTAAATCCACTTTTGCAAGAACTTGCCAGCCTACCCAGGGGCCAGTGATTTGCAAATGCCTTTGATAAATCCCCAAACAGTGAGGCTGAGCCCACACCAGGTTCAGGAGAGACGAGTCTTTTCAGTGTCACCTTCCACCCACCCTCACTCCGGGGCTCCAGTTGCACGGCTTCCTCGGCCCTCAGAGAAGCCCGTGCTCCAAGCCTGAACCCACCAGTCTCCCTGGCGCTGTCCCCTGTAATCTCCACGTCCCTTCTTGTCCCGTACAGCTCATCTCCAGGTACTGACCTCACCTGGCCACTTCCTGAGGACAGCGTCCCGGCCCCAGGCTTCACGGAAGATTGTAGATCCCTCCCCACTCTGCCCCGGTCGCTAAGCCAGAGCGGCAGGACTTATGCAGCATTTACCCATGGGTAACAGAAAGAGCGGATCCACTCAGCACTGCACGTTTGTAGCGAACCCCTCGACCGGAACCCGGCGCCATGCTGATGGGACGGGCAAGTGGGAGCCTTCAGAGCCTCAAGGTGCACAGAGACTGGTCAACGACGTCCAAGGCAAGATGGCTGTCCTTTCGCTCTGAGCTGGGGCTTCAGACCCTAGAACATTAACTCCGAGAGACTCCAGCTCTGGCCAATGGCATTCCAGTCTTCAAAATCCCGACATTTTTAACAAATATACACCTAGAGCTATCACTGAGGCATCTTCTCATAGCTTAAGAAAGCTTTCCTGTATTAAAATTCATCTCTACGTAATAGCCATTAACGTCCTCCACCCGGCAGGCAGGTCAACGCGATCCCGACGCAGGCTCTGGGGCACGGCGGCCACTCCTTGCAGCTCCTCTGGGGGCTGCGGCCGTGAAAGGCCGGGCCTCCGGCGTCCTGCTTGTACCAGGGGACAAGACCCGTGCGCCACTGGGTGAGCTCCGGCCAGGATCTGACAGAGGGCCCGGGGGTGCGGAGGGCCCAGCAACCCCGCTGTCTGTGAACACGAAGATGACTGTCCAGGGAAGTGAGCAGTGCATCCCTAGGGGGTCTGCAAACTCGAGTAAGCAGGTCCTCGCCCTGTTCTGACTCAGAGCAGCCAGAACAAACACCCGCACACACACACCTGTGACCCCGGGGCGCCCTGGGGCACTGACTGGAGAGCACGCTGCAGCCCGAGTCAGCGTGCTTCTCCCACGTCCGAGCCTGTACTCCAGAGCCTAGGCCAGGGCCCCCGAGGTCCCGAGGGTCTGCGCACCGTTCTAGGCATGGGGACAAATCTCCCTCCTGGGCATTAGTTAACTTGTTTAATTCTACATAGATGTTAAAGTTCGGGGAGGGGGGCTACCTTTTTATTCTAATTTTATTTCTTCCATGAGAGAGAGGCCGCCCACACATGGTCCTCAGACCACGACCCACGCCCGACCGCAGCCACTCAGGTCACCCCCACGTGCAGGCACCTAGCGGGCAGAGGGAGACCGCGTACTAGGACCCGGCCCTTCCCGCTTGGGCCCGGAGCACACCCAGGAGAGCACAGGTGCATCCCTTGCTGCCATGGGCCGAGTTCACCACACCCCTGTGCAGGGGGAGAGGGGAAAGAGAGACCGTGGGCTGGCCGGGCCAACGTGGCCCTGAGGACAAGAGCTGACAGTGAGCCTAGAATGCAGGTGCTGGGAGGACGGACTAGGTCCCTTCTGTCCCTCCTGTGTCCGCACTGACAGCAAAGACTATGAACAGCGCTGCACCCTCCTCCACCCTCAGCCCCAGGGACGCCCCGTTCCGGGGCACAGTCATGTGGACACTCCGAAGCCGCTCCTTACAAGCCGCCATTTTCAATGTCTCAAAAGCTTGTGGTGGAAAAGCCTGTGGATTAAAATAGATGTCACTGGGGAAAATGTTTAAATTTCAAGGTTTGAAAGTGATTTTGAAATAGATATGCCCTTTTCAAGTCGAGGCGGAAAAGCGACACGATCTATAAATTATAGAGGAATCTTGCTCATTCACAGAGGGTCTGGAAGGGCTGTTGCCAATGAACGAATCTCGTAAACAATGAAACGGCATGAAGTGTTGGCTGAAGGGCAGCCTCGCTGAAGGGGCGGGCGTACTCTGCTGCGGAAGATGAGGGAACAGTCGGCCACTCCGCAGGGGGCTCCAAGAGCTCGCTGAGAAAGCGGGCTCAGTGTTCCCTCACGGAGTCGCTGGTGCATGTTGTCCCATAGACTGCTCTGCAGCAATTAGCGAGTCTGGAGGCCACCCGGCCTTCCCATGTCTCAGACGAGGGGTCGGTCCCTGCATCCTAGGGCCACCTTGCGTACCCGTTCCAATCCCCTTTTATCAGAATTTTTAAAACCGTCCACTCCTCTTGGCCCGTCCATGTAAGCGCAATGCTGTTTCTCAAAGTGCGCGCGCAGCATGACGGTTAGATCGGGGCTGTGGCCGTCTACGCCCGCTTCGTCCACAGAGACCTCGGCGGCCGGGCGCTGGCGGGCTCCTGGCCTCTGCACGCAGCCAGCTCTGGCCGCCATCGCAGCCTCCTGCGGACTGCACCGGGCATAGCCAGCACTCAGCTGGCCCACTTAGCACAGAGTATGAAACTGCTGAGAGAGCCAGCGGCATTTCTGTCCCCATCAGGAGCAAAGGGGAGACGGGGTCCCCAAGGAGACAGCTGGAGAACAGCCGCCCGCACACACAGTGACCAGGTCTCAGGGTGGTGATCCTGCAGTGCATCAGTAGCAGCTGTGCACACACATGACACATGTGCACACACATGCACATGCATGTACACATGTGCACACACACCCCACTTGCACTTTATCCCAATACTGACTGCAAGTTCTATCGCTTCCTTTTAGCATGTAGGTGGAGGAGTCTGCACACCAGCATCAGGTCGGTGATGTTGGAAGGCTTCACTGCCCAGGTCAAGGCTGCCGTGCAAAGAGGAGGAGAGGCGTGGAGCCACCCACACACGGGATGGGAGTGGCAGGCCCAGGATCGGCGGTCCAGCCTGAGATTCAACATACACAATTGCTGACGGGCCTCAGTGTCAGCTTTAAGAGTGCTCAACTTTGTGAACTTTGTTTAAAATAACAGAATAGGGACCAGCAGTTGGCATAATGGCTATGTCGCTGGACTCCCATGTAGCCAACCGCGGTTCACGTCCCGGACCCGGTGAATTAAACTCACGCTGGGCGCGTGTGCGTGCGTGCCCAAGATCCCGAGAGAATAGAGGAGAAGGGATTGCAGCGTGGCCATACCCCCTGGGGGGGTGATTTCTCGCTTTCTGTCTCTCTGTCTGTCTGGAGAGCGCGCGCGCCCTGTAGCAGAAACCTCTCCCAAGCATTAGCAGAGACCGCCCGCAGGCTTCCAGGCACTCTGCCTTTGATTCCCACACTTTCCTTTCAATCGCATCGGTATGTGCTTTTCCAAACCTGATGACAAAATAGTATCTTATAAGCCTGGAGAAAAGTCAAGGTTGAATGAGCTAAAGTCAAGATCAAAGACACTTAATTAAAATAATAACAAAACAGAAATAGGAACATCAAATAATGTGGGTGAGGATGTGAGAGAGACGACCAGACTTGGGGTCTGAGTCTCTGAGACCAAGCGCTCCGGGTGCCGCCAGTCCTCCTAGCGACGAGGACGGGACCTCGGAGCAGGCGGGGCACAGCCCAGGGCACTCTACCCAGGGGGCGCGGGGAGCAGGCGTGCATGTGACTACACAGCCACGAGTGCGATGCTCAGACTGTCCCTGCTCCTGCCTCTCCCTGCTGGGTGTCCTTCATGTGGTGGGAAAGCACACATGTGCACTACCTGCCTGCCTATTGGTCCACGCTCACACACACACAGTCTCACACTCACACTGATGTGCACCCACGCTCACACAGACACACTCAGACACACATGCAGTCTAACACACTCACATACATATACACTCACACACAGTCTCACGCACTCAAACAGGTGCACACACTCACATACACACACACATGCACACACAGTCACACACAGAGACATATACACACACACGCACACACACACACACAAACACACACACACACACACCAATTCCCCACAGTACTGTATAGAAAATGGCAGAATTGTGGGTAGCTTTACACTGGAAAACGCGTACCTCTATAGACCTCTGCCCTCCCCGTGTGAGCGAACGACAGAAGGGACGCCCACAGAGTCCCACCTGCCGACACCCGGCCTCGGGCCGCGCAGAGGCCACCAGCAGGACTGCGGCGTCCCCGGGAAAATGCTCCTCTGTTTGCTCAAACTCCACTGTCCCTGGCTTTGCAGTCAGATACTCACTTTCCAGGGCTTTTCAACGTGACCTCACTCTTCCCAGCACTCTGGAGCATGCTTTCAACGCGAACTCGGTTACTCACGATGCCCACATGTAACAGCGGAAGGAGAGGACTTGCTAATTTCTTTTTTTTTTTTTAATTCTTTTATTTTGGAGAGGTTTTTGCCATAGGGCACGTGCACTTGCCAGACAGACAGAGAGAGACAGAGATAGAAACCGAGAAATCACCCCCCAGGGGGGATGGCCATGCCGCAACCCTTTCTCCTCCATTCTCCTCTCGGGGTTTTGGACATGGGACATGCACGCACATGTGCCCGGCGTGAGTTTAAGCCACCAGGCCTGGGACTCGAATAGCAGTCGGCGACGTGGGAGTTCAGCTACATAGCCATTACGCTAACCGCTGGTCCCAGGACTTGCTAATTTCTGACTGAGTTCACAATTTTTCCACGAAAGGCAAAATTGGCAGATCTCAGCTGAGGCCAAGACCGCGTGGCCAGGGCTCAGCTGCCCTATCACTTGGCCCCTAAGAGTCCTCGAGCATCTCAGGGAGGTTACGCCGACCCACTGCAAGACACCGAATTAGACACGGCTCTCCAGGGACATGCTCCAGTCCAGTGAGAAGCGC